GTCTGTTCATTTATCTATTTATCTGTCAAAGCCTGTTCATTTATCTGTTTCTCTATCTAAGCCCATCTATCTATTTTTATTTATTTCTACACCTATCTATCTATATATCTATATATCTATATATCTATCTAGTTTGCTAGCTTACCAGCTATCTGCTTTTTTTAATGAATTCATCCCAAGCAAGGCGAAAATATCACTGAGATGCAAAGGGCTACTATGAGTTAACGAGAATGAGAAAAATTTAGAAGCAAGTATCTATCTATCTATCTATCTATCTATCTATCTATCCCAAAACAGAAAGGATACATATATTCATGATGTTCACACTAGATTCGGACCCTGCCATTTGAATGTCGCATCACAAATCGAGACTCATCAGACCTGGCAATGTCTTTCAATCTTGAATTGTCCAATTTGTCTGGCACTTAGCAAATTGTAGCTTCCGTTTCTTGCATTAATCTGAAAATAATGGAAACCCGTTTCGGCTTTTTTCTGATTTATCTCTGCTACTTGATTGGCTGTGTACTCAGAGAGGCCCTTTTTATGTACCTGCGATGTAATGAATTCTTATTTGAGCGAACTTTGCCTTTCTGGCAGCTAGAATTGATTTGGTAATTATATTGAGACATCTTTGCGTCCACAGAATTGCCTTTAACTGTTTAAATGTTTCTTTTTCTGATCATTCTTGAAATACAAAGGGCCGCTTAACTCTTACCAACAAACATGCCGCATTCAAAGTCATGTAAATTGACTGTTTTCCCCATCCCAATGCACGAAATGAAATTTAGCAGGTCAATATGACAAGGTTTAAATGAGCATATCCACTAAACTGGTGAATGATAGGAAATATACATTTGTCCACGTGCACTTAATTAAGGGACCAGGCTATTTAGATATATTGATCGATCCATCTTGAAATCTGTTGCATCTATCTATCTCTATCTATCTATCTATCTATCTATCTATCTATCTATCAATAATATATTCCCCATACAAAGACTGCCGCCTACTTGAATTGGGGTTACAAGATATTATGTATAAATACTTTTGTGTTATCTACGCCAAATTCGGATATGCCGCATTCAAAATCTCGTAAATCCAGTCTGTTCATATCTATCTATCTATCTATCTATCTATCTATCTATCTATCTATCTATCTATCAAAGCCTGTTCATCTATTTATTTATCTATCTAAGACCATCTATTTATTTTTATTTATTTCTACATCTATCTATCTATCTATCTATCTATCTATCTATCTATCTATCTATCTATCTATTAAAGGTTGTTCTGTCTATCTATCTATTTATTTATCTACCTGTCTAAGCCTATCTATCTATTTATCAAAGCCTGTCCATATCTATCTATCTATCTATCTATCTATCTATCTATCTATCTATCTATCAAAGCCTGTCCATTAATCTATTTATTTCTCTATCTAAGCCCATCTAATTTTATTTATTTCTACATCTATCTATCTATCTATCTATCTATCTATCTATCTATCTATCTATCTATCAATAAATCAATCTATCTATCTATCTATCTATTTATCATCATTCAAGCAATCTATCTATCTATCTATCTATCTATCTATCTATCTATCTATCTATCTATCTATCTATCAAAGCCTCTTCATCTATTTATTTATTTATCTAAGACCATCTATCTATTTTTATTTATTTCTACATCTATCTATCTATCTATCTATCTATCTATCTATCTATCTATCTATTAAAGGTTGTTCTGTCTCTCTATCTATTTATTTATCTACCTGTCTAAGCCTATCTATCTATTTATCAAAGCCTGTTCATCCCTATCTATCTATCTATCTATCTATCTATCTATCTATCTATCTATCTATCTATCAAAGCCAGTTCATTAATCTATTTATTTCTCTATCTAAGCCCATCTATTTTTATTTATTTCTACATCTATCTATCTATCTATCTATCTATCTATCTATCTATCTATCTATCTACAAGCATGAACCAGTATGCCTGGTGCACACAACAATTATTCAGAGATCTGAAATTGTCACTGTGTAATATTTGATCAATGCAATGCATGAGGAAGCATTTGTGTACACTGCTAAGAAAAAAATAATCGTTAACCTGATTAAAATTTCTTATGTAATAATCCAGGCTTCTTTAGTATTTTTGTTTTTATTTAAAACAAAAACTGTGCTCCATGCAGAAGTAGAGCTTAGATTACACTTATTTTTTAAAAAATATGATTCCTTCGCTACATAAGAGTCCTCATGTTTCAAAAGCGAGAGCCGAAACCCTCAATATAATTATTAAAAATTAAGTGAATTAAAGTAACGAGCCCTGTTTTTTCCTCAAACGAAAATTTCGGAATTTTCCTAAATTTTCGCTTGAGGATGAAACAGGGCTTGTTGCTTTAATTTAATTTTATAAACTCAAATAATGTTTATAATATATATATATATATATATATATTTTACGAGAAGCAAGTCAATGAATCCAGTAAGGTGTTAGTATAGAAAATATGGTTACCGCTAACTAATTCTACTGTAACTTGTTGAGACCTTACTACCAATCTAGTACTGCGCTTAAATCTGTAAAGTGAGGGTACCACAGAGGAATATGTACTGGGTATCATTATGACCTATATCGGGTAACAAGGCCACTGATCGGGATTTTTTGAGGAGTTCTGAAGAACCTCTTAATTGTGGCTGTTCACAGGCCCATTCTGACCCGTGGTGGTAGCACCTTTAAGGGTCCGAGTTATGGGCAAACAGATACTCCTCCCCCAAATTGAGGTTAAAGCACTATGAAAGTGTGAAATATATTTTAATAGTAATAAACAAAAAACAGCAATACATTTTTGAAAACGTCTCCAATATATTTAACACTAGACAAAACCCCTCTTTACAAAAATGCGCAAATAAACCTGATCTACAAACTGATTTCTTACAAAGAATACATATTCTATTCATCTGAACTTATACTAAAATCTTTGTTGGCTTTAAATAAGCCATTGAGGTATTGATATGTCGTAAAACATAACAAATCGAAACAAACCATGTACCAATATGCTATCTATCTATCTATCTATCTCCGTCTTTTCATATCTATCTATTAAAATTTGTTAATATCTATCTATTTTTCTATCTATCAGTCTGTCTGTCTGTCTATCTATCTATGTATGTAGTTCGGTTCTTATCTCGAAAGAAATATACTTATTGGCTCGCTTACGCATTGGCCACACGAGAATAACCAATTCGTACTTGCTAAACAACGAACATCAACCAGTATGCCAAGCGTGTGAAACAGCGTGAACATTTAACCATATATTTACTGAATGTTCAGACCTTGCTCTTTCAAGGCAAAAATGTCATGAGATAAACCACACGCATGAACACATTGAGAAAGCAAAAGTACATAATATAATTTCTTAAAACAGTGGGCCTATACAGAAATATAAATCAAATGAGAATTTCACTAATTCATTTTCTGTACAAACTGTCTATACAAAAATACGTCAATAAAACCAGATTCTCGACAACAATCTTCTTTACAAAAATTACCTCAATTAAAAATGGTTTATAAACTGAATAAATATTATATTCATACGAGCCGATCCAAAAAATTTTGTCGGCATTAAATAACCGATTGATGTTGATATGACGTAAAACAAAATAAACCAAACCAAACCATAGAATAATGTTCATCGGGACAATTACCATAAAAATATGCCCAGAAGAGGACCAGAGAAGCCATGCTACCACGGTGGGAATATAACTGAAGCCGAGATATTAGATTAGGACCAATAACTTTGCAGACTCTTCTTTGTATTTTTCCAATTATCTCTAAATATATTGCTATATTTAGCTGTCCCCCCCCCCAATGCCGAGTTTAATGTGGGTCATCCGGGCCCGTAGGTCCGGCCAAAAATACAGCCTTCGAACCCGGCTAGGGGGGGTTGAGAGCTGTCAACCCCCACGAACGAAACCTTGCCCTTCGGCAAAACTTCGTCCGATTTCCTCACTGCTAATGCAGAGAGTTAGACAGACGGCGGTTGCTGTAAGTTAAATACATAGCAGGAGCACCGGACAATATATGGCAGCAATATTCAAAGTATACGGTAGACTTATACATATGTGAGACAGATTCGGCCAGGAAAGTTTGTCCAGCACTTCACAGTGAAGCAACTATCATAGCAGCAGACCTAGCATAAGATTCGATATAATCTTTCCACTTCATGCGAAGGGAAAACGTTAGCACTAGAAGGCGCAATTAGTCACTTTCCTATAGGTTAGCATCAGCCATAGTGGTTTTTGTCATCCATCATACGTACATAATTCAACTAAAAACAGAAATAATTCAGTGTAAAATAATAAACTATTTCATTACCAAACGCAGTTAAAATTCATTAACAACCAAGAAGTAACGAATTAACGGAAAGCTTATTCATCACTTATCAGTTAATACATGCCTGCTTAGAGCTCCTAAGAAAAGTAGTAATTCGTCTTGGAATACGGTACACTTGACTTTAAAGTCCGGGTTAACACAATAGTCACATACGAAATTGTAACCACTAGTCAGTGGCATGATATCTCTAATTATATCAAATAGCGGTCGACATTTTCATTGTTTAGAGATTAACGTTTCTATGATGAAAGGCGAAATGAATTCTCTCAGATGATTAAGGAGGGCAGTTTTATTTTGCAGAAATATTTCAGTTTTATTTTAAACGCTGATTTTTAAGGACTCTTGTTTTGGTTGCTTATTGATTCAAACCTGTTTTTACATAGTTCATTACTAATTGGGAAGGGTAGAACTAAAACAAATTAGTTCCACTGCGAATGCCGAGCAATATCACTTCTTGCTCTTATTCTAAGTACCGATCAGTTGGTGCTTTTCCTTTTTCAAATGAGTGCAAGTATATTACCAATATTGAGCAAAGAATTACTATGTCGCCAAATTCCAGAACAAATTCTTTAGCCCCGTTTGGCAATAATCTAGACAATAATC